TCACTCGTACGCACAACTTAAGAACAAATCTGTGTACCAACGGTTCTTGCATGAGGCCCAATGATTTCATCTCTCATATTAAAGTGAAGGTCATGTCTGGTAGGAACAAGTCTCCATGGCTCCATGTTAGAGTACACCTTCTCTGTGAGGTCAGACACTTTATCAGCAAAACTCACAACTTTCACTTTTTTCTTCTTCCAAATGCATCTGATCTCAGTCACCATTTGTCACAATGGTACTAATGCTTCAGTTGTTAACTGTGTTCTAAGACTTTGTATTTTTTGTGTTTTTCTAATGTAAAGCACTTTGAACTGCCCTGTTACTGACAAGTTCTGTACAAACTAACCCGACTGACTGATTGATAAAACAAGTAAAGTTGCATATTAAAAAATAAGGCTAAACCTGCTAAAAGCAACAATTTTTTTCCTTCAAGTGGAAGTTCAGGTCTGCTTGCATTAATTCTACATTTTTAGCTCTTACAAATATCAGAGCCACTGTTCAATAAAATCATATTTTATTAATAAAAGYAAAAGAATGTGTCATACAGACCATGGCACCGTCATTTCCAGGAGGTCCATCTAAGCCATCTTTTCCAGGAACACCCTTCAACAGTTAGGAAAATAATGCTGACTTTTAGTAAGTAAATGCATCAAAATCAGAAAACTAAAGAATGAAAGTTATATTTTCTATAATAATAAAGGAAAACTGTGATTCATAAATGTAACTTACAGACTTTCCTGGTTCTCCTGCTTTCCCCTGCCTTCCCATTTCACCAGGCAGGCCCTGCAAACACACAACAGATAAACATGTGCTCATCATTTTACAGCTGACATTTATTCATAAAAAATAATTCAGTTTCAAAAAAGATTTAACTTGTGAGAAAACAGTGTGATTGCTACACGTCCTAAATAACTAATCAAACTTGGTGAAGTAGCTGAAATGAAATTTAGTTATTGCTAAAATTAGCTCAACAAAACAAGCAAAAACAAAAAAGCTTAAACTAGCAGAACAATTAGCATAAGCTAAAATTAGCCCAACAACATCCAAAAGCCAGTTAAGAACTAAAATAACTATAACTAAAGCAAAACCAAAGATAAAAGCTTACAGGTTGTCCAGTTTGTCCTGTTTGCCCTGGTGGACCTGCTGGACCTGGTAGACCCTTTAGAATRAGAAATATTAACATTTTACAATGGAGATATAGTATTTTGTAAGTRCATCTGTAGTTACTACATCATTTTTTCTTTATTTTTAAAAAGTGTCTGAAACAGCATCGAGACAAAAGGTTGGACATCAGTTCGGTGTAGACAACAAGTATTTCAGTAACACTGACGACTCAGTAGAGGACGACATGCAGCAGTGCTCACAGGTGAAACTATCTGAGAAAACTTTTTCTGTCACTCCAGAGAACAATTTGAAGATCTAATTACTAAATTAGTGATTTCTTTTATAGTTTTCTACTTTTTATGTTCAATAAAGTTCACAATAAAACATGTTTAAATAGGGTGCAGCAGTAATGAGGTTCTGTGGCATAGAACTCAGGTAACATGGTTACATGAGGTATGTTCAAAAAGTTCACACAGAACCACACTTCTAAAAATCAAAACTGTTTTCTTTGAAATACACTTTAATATACGCTTGTTTAAGATGTTGTTTTTTTAATTACATTTTTTAAGATATTATTGAATCTTCTATCAGCCTTTCAGTCAAAATGTCTAAAAGTCAGACCTTGATATTGTTCAGCTGTCTTAAAATGTCTGATTTGGAGGATTTTGCCTCTCAGGTGGGGAAAGGCTGCGTCCGGTGGCTCCTTACCTGGTGACCCCCTGTTAGGTTTTAGTCCTCTGAGGGTCTATTAGACCAGAGATTCTTAACCCATGGGCCGCGGCCCAATTGT